GAAGTTGGTCGAAGTCCAGCAAGTGCAGGTTCGGACAGAGTTGGGGTGTAGGGTTCAGGGTTCAGGGTTTAGGGTTTAGGGGGTTTAGGGTTTAGGGGGTTTGGGGGGTTTGGGGGGTTTAGGGGGTTTAGGGGGTTTAGGGTCTAGGGACCCAAGAACAGTGGGGGATCGTTATGAAGAGGATCCGAAAAAGGGCCCTAATTTTGAGAACTATCCAAAGCCTGACCCCCAAAACGAAGCAATACGCGGTTTAGGGTTTAGGGTTTAGGGTTTAACCCTAAGCCCTAAATCCCACAACCCTTCCCAAGTCTAAGCCCAGCATGCCTTGCCGTCTTGTCCACCTAAACCCAAACCCTAAACCCGAAAACCTAAACCCCAACACCTAAACCCTTAAGCCCTAAACCCTCATCGAAGACCCTGAACCCGGTGTTTGCAGGAGTCGCTTCGATGTTGGGCCCGTTGCTCTTAAATCAGGAGATTGAGGCAGAGCTCAAACTTTAGGGTTCAGGATTTAGGGTTTTAGGGGTTTAGGATTCAGGTTGAGGGTTTAGGGTTCAGGATTTAGGGCTTAGGGTTTAGGGTCTTAGGATTTTAGGGCTTTAGGGTTCAGGTTTTGGGTTGGGGTGTTGGGGTTCCCTAAACCCTAACAGCGAATAGGTAGTATTATCCGGGGTACCCCTTAAAGGGTACCCCTTCTGAATTCTACTTTTGGCTCTCTTAAAAGGGACCTTATTGAGATGGTCTATATCCCCAAGGGTCCCCCTAATCCTAGCTCCCACCTAAAGCCCTGTAGGATTTAGGGTTCAGCTTGAGGGTCGGGGTTCGGGATTTCGGGTCTGGGGTTTGGAATTTTGCAGCTTGGGGTTGTGAGGTTTTCAAGCTTGGGCGTGGGTTTAGTTGTTGTGTTGGGGGCTTTACTTGGAGGCCCAGGGGACTTGGTAAGTCGGATCTAAGTCGGGTTATACCTGGGGCAACTCCATTCAAGCTACTTATAATTCTCCTCATAACTTTCTTGCTAAGTCCCCTGGGCTTCTATTAGCAACCTGTCCAAGTCGAAGCCCAACAGGCCATGAAAGTTTTTTTGACACCATAGCAGAGAAATGTACCTAGGCTTTGATGTTTCCCGGTGTAGAGATTAGGGTTTAGAGTTTCTAAACCAGCGGTTGGAAGAATGATTATCCACATCCCTAAACAGTCACTGGAAAAGTCGATCATACTATTTACGCTGTGCAACAAAGCGTTATTCTCATTCTGCAGGTCCCTCTGTCTGAAACTCGAAAGAAAGCCAGAAAACATCAGAAAACCCTTTCAGAATCCCATAAGCCATATCAGACCTTGTTCGTAGTACTTACAACCGTTAAAGACTACACCACTCCCAAAGTTCAGGTTTGTTGACCCCTGTGAGGGTTGCAAGGGTCTCTTGCGGTCTGGGGTCTGCAAAGGTTTTGGGGTTTAGGGTTTAGGGTTTAGGGTTTAGGGTTTAGGGTTTAGGGTTCAGGGTTGAGGGTCTACAGAGGTTGTATTGGGATTTCGGGGCTCGGCGTTTAGCTAGGGTCTAGGGCCTCGAGGGGTTTAGGGCCAGGGCTTAGGGCTGTTGCCTCACAGGGTGTGTGGCACACTGGCATCGTGGTCTACGGCAAGGACGCGCTGGGGTCAACAACCTAGCATTTCAGAACTGATATGGGAGCCTTACAGTGCCCTTCATTCAGTGTACCGTAGGGTTAAAAATGAGCGTTGTGGGGTGTATGGTATAGTTCTAGTGCAGACTAAAAGGAACACAGACCCTAAAAGCCCTAAACCTTAAATCCTAAAGACCCTAAACCTAAACCCTAAATCCTGAAAAGCCAAAACCCTAAACCCTAAATCCTAAAAACCCTAAACCTAGACCCCAACTTCCTGCAAGCCCGAAATGAAAGCACTCCATGGCCTGAGCCCTCAACCCTGAGGGGCGTATACCGGTTTAGGGTTTAGGGTTTAGGGTTTAGGGTTTAGGGTTTAGGGTTTAGGGTTTAGATCCCCGGAACCGGGACAGCCAGTCTCAAAGAAGTAGGGTTTGGAGGTTTAGGGGTGCAGGCGTTCAGGGTTTAGGGTTTAGGGCACTCAGCTGAAGATCCTTGACCCTAAGTCCGAAGCTGGCAACCTCAATGCTTGAACCCGGAGCCCTGAACCCTGTTTTGGGTTTAGGCTTTAGGGTTCAGGGCTTAGGACTAGACTGTGAACCCCAGACGGTCAGTGGCTTAAAGAACGGCACAACAAGCCGAATCCTCAAACCAGCCCAAAAACTTAACCCTGAACCCTAAAACAGAAAACCCCTTCTTGAACCCTCAACCCCTAAACCCTAAACCCTTAACGCTACACCCTAAACCCTAAACCTGAAACCCTAAACCCTACATCCTGAACAGTGAGGAGTACTACTTTGGGGGCGACATCTTCTACGACACGCCGGCAAACACGGGCTTCGGCACTCCGAGGCCCGGGACCGCTTAGTTTAGGGTTTAGGGTTTAGGGTTTAGGGTTTAGGGTTTAGGGTTTAGGGTTTAGGGTTTAGGGTTTTAGGGTTTAGGGCATTCTGGGTTTAGGAGATAGGGGCTTAGGGTTTAGGGGAGTCAGGGTTTAGGAACCAGGCGTTTAGGGGTTTAGGGTTCAGGGGGTTTAGGGGATTCCGAGTGTAGGAAATAGGGGTTTAGGGGTTTTAGGGTTTGGGATTCAGGATGTATGCATCAACTTTCAGTGTCAGGCTTCGGGGTTCAGGGCGGTTTAGGGTTCAGGGTTCAGGGTTCAGGGTTCAGGGTTTAGGACTTAGGGTTAGGATTTGGTATCAGGGTTTGAGGTTCAGGATTCAGCATCAGTCAGGGTTTTTGGCTTAGGAAAGTTCAGGATTCGGTACATGGTAGGCTTTAGACTCAGCGAGGTGTGCGTAAGAAGAACTTGCTGACCCATCAGCCTATCCATCAAACTTATGGAAACATGGCGTGTGCAGGGCACCGGAGTGAGGAGAAACTGCATTGTGTGTCGCATTCGCAAGCAAAGAGTCGTGCAGAGCCAGTACCTGAGCACAGCATCACCATGCAGCCACCCGCCGCCCGGCATGCATGCAGCCTCGGGGTGGGCGGCAATACAGGCGGGACGTGAAGGCATCTCATTGGACGACCGAAGATGAGGAAGTGTTGCCACTGCCAGGTTGACTAATATGGGGGCCTCAATAATTACCAATACTATTTTGGGGGTTCCTTCTCATAGATATAGTATACTGGGTCCCAAAACCCTATTCTGATTATTATGGCCTCTATATTACCACTGGTTTCCCATAGAAGCGGAGTACGCCGACAAAAGACCTGAGTCTACTGGAGCAAGTGCCTTGTGCCGGGCTGCTGAAAGGAAAGAGGGGGCCTAGCAAGTATCGGTTTTGAGTCCATTTTGGGTACTCATAACCGTAAGCCCTAAACCCTTAAATCCTATCGCCAAAAAACCCCCTAAGCCCCTAAACCCTACACCCGTAGGGTACTCATAACCCTACTTATACAACTGCTCTTGAGACCTTCAAGTAGCTCTCGTTTTTATGCCCAGGCCGTAGCCCCCCCTCCTTCCGCGGTCATGCACCCGGGTTTATTTCAACTCCGGGCCTTTGGCTTCAAGGTTTAATATAACAAAGGGGCCGAACTACTACTATTCGGGGTTTCGTATGATAAGTATAGCAAAAGAGACCCGAAAACTCTATTCGAATTTCTAAGGCCAGGCATGATTGGGGTTTGGTGGCATTTCGTGGGATATCGCCGCCCTAAGCCCTAAACCCTAAACTGTGGTCCCTAAACCCTAAACCCTAAACCCTAAACCCTAAACCCTAAACCCTAAACCCTTAGCCCAAAACCCTAAACTGTGGTGCTGAAGCTGCTCTGGATCCGTCTGGTTCGGTACTCGCTCCTTGTCCACCTTTCGCTGCGGCTCCTAACGCTGAGCGGTTTGGTTTAGGGTTTAGGGTTTAGGGTTTAGGGGTTTGGGTTTAGGGTTTAGGGGTTTAGGGTTTAGGGTTTACGGGTTTAGGGTTTAGGGTTTAGGGACCCTAAAGAAAGCGCTTAGAATATTGACTGTACGTCATATGGGGCGCGTTCCCAGGCTCGTGATTCCACTCGGCTCAACTCTCAGACAGCGCGATGAGCTCCACGCGTGCGGGGGCCCGGTTGCTTCAGACTAGAAACCAGTGTAAGAGTCCCATAAGGCATGCTATGAGAGTGTACTATACAGGCCTCACCTTATCAATATAAATAGGGTTTGGGGTGTATATTATACGATAATTAGTTACAAGAAAGAATCCCGAGTCAGAACTTTTGAGGCTTCTATATGTTCTGTCACGGGATTTATGGGGGCCTGTTTGTATAGGGGCTGTAGGGAGTAATCTAGGGGCCTTAGAGGGTTGTGTTCAGTGGTTTTTTCTACCAGCTTGCATGGGTTTGGGCAGTGGGGTCGGGTTTGGATATGGGGGTTTCCGAAAATAGGGGGACCCTTTTTCTGGTACCCTTAATAGTAGGATCCTTATTATAAGGACCCCAAACCCTAAACCCTAAACCCTAAAAGATAAACCCTAAACCCTAAACCCTAAACCCTAAATCCTAAACCCCCCATATTGAACTCACCAGCCCCTGGCCTAGGCACCCTAAACCCTCAATCCCCTCTGTAACATATCCAGACCTCTGTAAGGCTGAAACCTCCTTGAACGTGTTCTGTTGCGACAGTTATGTAAGGGCCTTAACATTCGAATAGGGTCTGCGGTATATTGTACTATAATCATAACTCGGAACCCCCCAAACCCTATTCTGATT